AAGAGGATTCCAAAGGCCCTAACATACAGTTCCGTTTACCATAAAATGTTAGAATAAAATGCTTCGACATTTTTAAATGTATTCAGTCAATGTGCGAGCACAATACTTCTCACACGAAATCGCTGTTGTGTTGTTGTACGTGGTCGGCTTTCATTGACCAGTCAGGACGTTCAGCAGCCCATTTTGTGAGAAGTGATTGGAGAAAATCTCATAATCGCGATGATTGGTTCTAAAACTCAGGGATCGTAGACGCGGTAGCTTTTCCAATCTGTACGCGAAAGTAGATTGATATAAAGCTAGCAAAAATTGAAAGATGTCTGTTTATTACCAAGTTAGCCCCGAGTAAGTGACATTTCACGTTTCAGCACATCAAAATGGCTGATATTAGGTTATTTATTTGTTTGTTGTGCTTACAACCGGCGTTTAAGATCTCATGTGTCAGCGCTGAACATTTCAAACTGCATTTCATACCAATTGTCTATATCTATTTTCCTACTGATGGACGCTTTTAAACTGAAAATAATCTGTCACATTAATTTTGGCTTGTGTTTGCTTGGCAGTGGGGAAGCAACTGAAGTGGATGCTGAGACTGTTGCAGGCACGAGAATGACATCTCCTTCAACAGTACAGTCAGAAGCACAGTTAAATCTCAATGCATTTTGGCCACGTGTTACAGAAGAAGTACGGAAAACTCCTGTAAGTTGTTTTACTCTAATGAATGTCTTGCATTTCGTGATTTTTATTAACATAATAAGATAAAAACTTTACTTCCATGTTTTCCAGCTGGATCTGAAAAATCAAGCACTCCCCCTTGCCAGAATAAAAAAAATTATGAAGCTCGATGAAGATGTGAAAATGATTAGCGCTGAGGCCCCTATGCTTTTTGCCAAAGCAGCGGAAATTTTTATACATGAACTTACACTTCGTGCATGGGTATGTCACAATTTGAAGTGCCCTGAGAACTGGTGTTTCATTTTAAGAGCTGTTCAATGTAAATTCCCTTACAGGTTCATACAGAAGACAACAAACGCCGCACTTTGCAACGCAATGACATAGCTATGGCTATTTCAAAATGTGATCAATTTGATTTTCTCATAGATATTGTACCACGTGAAGAACTAAAACCTGCCAAAGCAGCCAATGAAGCTGCTCGAGGAGCTACGGCAATGAATCCTGATCAGGTAACTTAACTCCACTATCTTAATTTCCATTTCTATAGAAACCAATCGTGATTATTTTTATTTTGAATGCCTCTTATATACTTCCAGATACAATACTACTTCCAGTTAGCTCAACAACACCAGCAGGCTTTATCCCAAACAGGAACAACTTCTAATACAAACGCCACAACAGCTAGTAGCACTGCTGCTAATACACCATCAACAATTCAGATCTTCCAGCCTAGTTCTGGCCAAATTCAAACAGTTCAAGTCGCAAATATTGCATCACCAGCAGATCAGGTGTGTGATTATGAGTTGTGTTTTGTGCCAACATGTTTTCCACCGGTATTTTAAATAACTCCTTCTAAATTTAACTTCTTTAAATTAAAAATTTGATAAATTTTTAATTATCCTTTTTGTGAACTAACATTTTAGGCGTTCAATGTTACGGTTTTCAATATATTTTTTTTTCTGTAATTAATTACCCTACTTGTTACTTGTCCAGCAGAGGCATGCTTCCACAACAGCTGTGGCAACCCAATCAGTCCAACCCCAAGTCATTCAGGTACAACAACCACAACAGGCCCAAGTTCAGCAGCAAACGGTTCAAGCTGCTACTGGTGGTATTCAAATTGTACAGCAAGTTGTCACTCCCAATGGGGAAATTCAGTCTATTCCTGTAAGTTCCTAAATAGCCTTCTTCTCATTTCTCAGTTTTAGAGCAAAATAATGTGTACAAATTAACTTGTCTGTTTTTTTGCTCCTAAAATTTCTGTTGTTTTCTTTATCTATCTAGATTCAACTTACTCCTCAGCAAATGCAAATGATAAGAATGCAGTTACAAGGAAATACACAGTCAGCCATTATCCAAGTCCAACCTCAGTTAGTGCAGGTAAATATGTCAATTTCTCAACCCTAACCAGTTGCTTTGATCCCAGTGCGAAATGAATTTTTTGTCGATGTCGAAACGATATCGATATGATATCGTAAGTCGAAATTGTGGACAGGTTTGAGTTGTCAACGACTTAAACCTGTGCCTCATTTCGACTTACGACATCGTAACGACATCGTTTTGACATCGACAAAAAATTCATTTTGCACTGGGATTCCCCAAGGTGACCATTGAATTTTATTTTAGGATACTGGTTTGCCAACAGGTTGCTGATGGTTATGTTCGACAAGCTGGAGGCGGGGGAGAAGTTGAGTAATTAAAAAGACAAATTTTACTTCTTCGGACTCAATATGACTTATTAGATTTATTTTTGCCGGTAATGGCAGATCTCCCATTAGTTCGTGCTTTTTTGAGCTATGAATGATAATTGGTGTGGAAGACTGTGTCAGAGTACCTTTGGTAGACATCTCTGTAATGTCTACATGTATGTAATAGTCACCTTCAAAACTGGAAATTGAGCCAGTTTGTAATTTCACAGCAGGTCTGTGAGGTTTTTCTCCTTTCCTTCCCTTCTTGGAAATTTTCTTGGTTATGCTGATGAATGAATGACCAAGTTAATTCTTCATGTAATGTAGTGTTCATTGTGTAAATATGGTTTGAAGTGTGAATAGTTGTACAAATATTTAATGTCATAGTCATACACCTTTAAAAAAAAAGATTATTGATAAGTATACCTACAATTGTGTGGAAAAACCCAAACTTTTTATAATGTGTTTAATGTGTATGGAATATTATCAAACCTCCAGTTGAGTATTTGTCATGTCAGAAACTAGACACAACTGATCACCTACTGTGACTAACAATTTGTTTAACTGGTAACTGTAAATAAAAGCACAAGTGATTGGCCATGTCTTGTGTTGTTCTTTAAGCAGTTTAAAACCTTAAATCTTGGGTTCACCCTTTTCTTTATTGAAAACGAAAGCAACAGATGCACTACATAGCCTCTATGGTCATGTAGAAAAGTACAAAACATTTCTACCTTTGCAAACACACTTAATCATGACAAGAAACGAATCCATACAAAATCCTAAGTAACACAATGGAATCACACACAATACTGATTAAAGGTAACTCCAAAACTGAGAGCTATTAAACTTACCCATTCTATTTTGAAATTATGAAAGATATTATTTTTTCAAAATCACCAAATTGGAATGAAATCCATGCTGTTATTTGACAATTACATTACACAGTTGTACCATTTGTTGTAATCAACACATCGTGGCACATGGAAATTCCCTCATAACAATTTAGGCTTTGAATGATTTAAAAAAAAAAAATGGTTGAACATGTAATTGGAGATATTAATGACCTGGAACTTGAAACAAAAGCATCTATCTTTTCAACTGATGGGTTCCAATGAAATCAAATTTAATTTAGCAATGAACCAGCTTCTTTCCACAGAAGCATCAGTATATAAATAAGTATACATATGGTATTTTATTTGTAACTCAAAGTTTAATACTGACATTGTTGTATGTTGAGACATTGATTCACTATCCATTTCTCTTGAAATGGAATGTAAAATGTATACGACTAACTTTAAAAAAGCTAAATAGACTGACATAAGAGAGAATTCCTTGAAAGATGCAATGTTTTTCCTGTTTTTTTTTTTCTTTTTTTTCTTTTTGTACTTACATACAGGTCATTGTTGTTAAATGAATGAATGACATGTAGTACACAGGAAAAATAAATATGAGTTATTTACTGCTGACACACACACAAAAAAGGGTCTAGGTATATCTTTAAAAATATGTCACCAGGCCCACTGGGTAAGTGATCCAAATAAAACTTAAAAATAGACCAACCACAACCCCAAGAAGAATTAAATAAACACCAAATTGTCACCATTAACAGTATGCATAAAAGAAGTAAAAACTGGATGGGTGTTAAGGACAAAGGTAAAATCAATCCTCTCAACCAGGTAAAGAATAGGTCAGAACATAAAATTTTGACAAAATACAGATATTACAAACCTATAAATTTTGTAAAGGTAATGAAATGAGAAACATGAATTGAACAATCTACAGAGTCTTTAAATATCTTGGTCATTTGCATTAGCCTGCAGACTGCACTGGGTGGAAAACTCACCGCATAAATTATCGACATTTTTAAAGGAAATAACTAAAGAACAACATTTCAGACTTAAATATTATACTGTCAGACAGAAAAATGGAACACTTGATAGGACAGCGATCACCTTAAATGACATTGTTCCCATACCAACAGCCCATGCGAACATTATAATTATAAAGTGTCGACAGTGACACATACAGCAAAGAAAGAATGAAGACTGCAACAAACCGGAATGCTAAGAAGCAGCATAATGTGAATCTACTTACTTTCAAACTAATACTCCAAATCTAGATGTTCTTTGCTTTATACAACTTAAAATCACAGAGTGATGAGAAATTGAAAGAAGTTTACTTAGCTTGATCAAAGCAAAACCATCTCTTCCTTATATGTTACAGTAAAATATTAAGTTTTTGCAAGCTGAATAGCTTTAAAAAGTAAAAAATGAAATGTCTGAAATTGCGCACTATTTGAAGGCAAAACATTACTTTCTCTCTTCAAACACAACAAATTGGCTCACTAAATGTAGGTAACTAGCACATTTTAAAAAAATAATCCATTATCTTCAATAGCTAAACAAAATTATACTTCCGATTGGTCTTAATGGGTCCATGCATAGGTAAAAATTCCTTTTCTGTTCAAGTCTTAATATTCCTTACATAAACTGGAACAATACAATATAAGTTCAGGCTTTGTTTAATTCTTTTCCAAAAGAGAACCACAGCAAACAAATTGTTGGATGGTTTACCTGCCTAGAGATGACCCCAGGAGTAAAACTACCCCCTTAAATTTTTTCTCAAAACATTCGTATAACAAGATGAAGGTTCATTTGATCCCCATCCTGACTGTTCAGAGATGACTTAGAAACTTTTAAACAATTTTTTTTTAAGCTCTGCAAAATCTCATAATTTGAAAACCTATGAGGGCTTGCAAAGCTCATAACAACAGTTTACTAACAGGATGGAAGAGCACTACTAAAATGAAATCTGGTAACTTAGATTTCAGCAGCATTGAAAGTAGTTTGCAGGTACAGAATGTGCATAGAGTATCACAGCTTAAGGTTGGTACAAGGGATAGACCCAGAACCAAAATATCTTTCCTTCCCTAAACCTCACTTTGGAATGTGGGTTAGGGATAACAATAATAATACCCTGGATACAGAAAGAAAATAAAAAGCTTAATCTTCTATCAATTAGCTCAAAAAATTATAAGTCAGAGCTGCTTCTTATAATGGCAAATGAAAGTGTACAAAATTACAGAAAAAATATTTGATCACAAAGCATCAAGTCCTTAGGCTTCTTAAACATGTTTACACAATAACAAATTTTGAAATCTGAACACAGTGATTTTCATCTCATAGTGGCACATCAAATACTGCACAATATAATAGATGTAGCATTTCAGCAAAGCAAATTTCTTCACAAAGTATGGCTAAATGCACGTCCACTGGCTCCAGCTTTTGAAAGACGATCACTGACTTCAGTGATTGTTATGCTTTTGCGTATTGTTGTTGAGGTTCCACTTGGATGGAAGTAACGATAATACAACAACATGAACAAGATGCCAAGAAGAAAAGTGAGTACCTGCATAGTCACAGTACCATAGTAGAGTGAAGGGTTCTGGACTGAGCTACTTCCAACACACCTGAAGAAAAAAATCCACATTGTCACCACAATTTTGTTGAAAAAATCAAAAAAAGAAACAAAACTCTCAGAGGGATATACATCAGTAACGAAGCTTACCACACAACAAGGGCACCAGTATTTTCCATGAAACACACCAAATAATATGCCAAATATGTATATCTTGTAGGACCATCTCTTGGTGCTATGAAAGCCAAAATGTATGCTAGTCCAAGCACACCAGAGAACATAAGCTCTTCACACCTTGAGCTGCAAACAGCAGTTTGATGATGGCCCAGGGCGAGCCAGGCAGCCATTACACACCAGTGGCAAAGACAAACCGTACCCATCCAAGCTGGGTACATTGCAGCTAACATTGCAAGAGCCAACACTCTTGAAGCTGGAAAAATACACAATTTGGCTTTTCAGGATCCAAACAATTTGTTTAAAAAATGAATTTAAAAATAGTGTATTTATATCTTACCTGTTCCCATTAAGTGCCAACAAAATTGGATAGTGCTACCTTTCCAAGATAATTTCTCTTTATCATCCCTGGCAAATCTCACAGAGCGGTGATAAGAAGTGAGTGCCCAGGCTATTGAAATTAGAGCACACACAACGGCCCAACCTTGGTAAGCTGTTTAGGACGATGATGCCCATGTTCATTAAATTATATGAAAGCTTAATGACTGTTTGAGATGAGAGTTAATGATACCTTGTAATGGTTGTCTTTGCTTTGCCATCCGAATAAGAATCATCAAATGCAAGATGGCTTGGGGGGCTGCATGTAAGAAGCAATGGAATAGGCGCAAGAGAGATGCATCAGAGTCCTCATCTACCATTCTCCGATACAAATATTGTTGCTTTTCTTTCTCGTTCTTCCGAGATGCAATAATGCTTCTGATGCCATAATAAAGAGAGTCTAAATACCTGGATAACAGTTATTGAAGATGTCAAATTGTTTAGTAGAAAACAGTATGATTTTTCATGCAATAGCCAAACTTCTATGAACTTATTAGAGGTGACGGTGGGTGCATATCAAAAAAGGAGACTTGAGAGAGCAGATAAACCATACAGGGGTAGATCCAGTTCAAAGTGAGGAACTGGTTAATTGGCAACCCTTCACAGGGCGGTTACATACAGGGTACAGACATAGTGAAATAGCGGTCCCAAGGCCCCCTGAAGACACGCCGTGTGACTCCCAAGTAACACGGAATAGACACGAAAAGTCATATAGACGTATATTAGACAAAAACGTCACTATAAAGGTCACATTTGTTGAAAAACAATTGTCATTGTGACAACAAAATTGTGTCAAAAACTTTGACTTGTTGGTGACCATTTTGTGTCGTTACTTCGAATGCTGAGGACGAAGACTTCGTACTGTTGAAAGGGACATTAGCTCTCACCCTGTAGCAAACATCACCAGGGCAGGATGGAGACGTATCTATTGGCTGGAAACCAGTTGTCAAGGCTGGAGCATAACACCCCGCAATGGATTTCCTAGCTCCCAGGTGTACAGGGCTCACTTTAAGGCCTCAGAGTGCATTTACAACCCTCAGAGCCCTACAGTA